TTCCTATTAAGACAGAGAAAGTGCCAGAAATATCAACTTTACACTGTTAAAAAACAGTATAAAAAGCTCAGATTTCTTTTAATCTTACAAACAAGGAGGGAGGGAGAATCTCAAGCAAACTCCACATTGAGTGCGGAGCCCAACATGGGGCTAGATCTCACCACCCTGAGCGAAACCACGAGTCAGACACTCAACCGACTGAGCCACCCAGGCACCCCCCAAATGCAGTGTTTTTCAAACCAGTTGTGTCCCTTTAGCCATGTAATTAATTTAGTGGGTTGCAACCAGCATTTTTCTTCTAAAACGAAACAGAACAGAAATGGGGTAACTTAAACATACTAAAAAGTATTGGTTTGTGATACTTTTTGTTCAATCATATAGACAAATACCCTGTGCATGTGATAGGTCACAATGCAAAAGTTTACTGATTGGTTTCCAGTCAAAAGAGTCTGAAAGCCACTAGTCTAAGATATGGTTACAAGCTGATAAAGCTCGGCATTCTTTCTTTAGTGCCCTCACGGTCTCACCTTTATGACCTCCTCCCTTACCGATTAAAATCTTTCTCACCTCTCCCTGTTCCTTCAGATCTAAAATTTCTGCTCTTTCCCAGCTTGATCAACCTTTTGACTGAAATGTACCTCATATGAAATACTAAGTCATAAAGGACTATGAAGACTTGAAAAATCTGGCCTCCAGCGACAGTTTAGCAAAAATTGTTTTTAGAGATTCTTCCTTTGTATTTACGGAACAAAATTATTAAGAGAGTTCTTTTTCTGGGACATTCTCTGGGAAAGCAAAGCCCAAATCTAGCTTACTTACAATAAGGTTCTCAGGGCATAAATCCCCAGTCAGATTAAGAGGAAATTCATCTAGATGCCAAAGGTTTGTTAACAGTTAGAAACAAGTATCTGCAACTCTCTCAGACTCAACACAAGAGAGAATAGTCCCTTGCCAGCTGCAAGAAGAAAAAAAAAAAACCTCACTGCTGACCAGGAAATCACCCATCTTTACAGTAACTCAGATGTGAGCTAACGGTGTCCAGAACGAGATCTCATTTTATGTGAATTTTCAAGAGAGAATGAACAATTTAAAAACTGAAGCTATTTATATAACTGAGTATTTCACTTTTTTTTTTTTTAAAGATTTTTATTTATTTATTTGAGAGAGAGAGAATGGAGATAGAGAGCACGAGAGGGAAGAGGGTCAGAGGGAGAAGCAGACTCCCTGCCGAGCAGGGAGCCTGATGCGGGACTCGATCCCAGGACTCCAGGATCATGACCTGAGCTGAAGGCAGTCGCTTAACCAACTGAGCCACCCAGGCGCCCTGAGTATTTCACTTTAAAACGGCAGTACAAGGAGGCACTGCCCCGATGCCTTACCTTTAAACTCAGATTCTGTGCCTGGCTTTGCGCTTTCGCACGCCACACATTTGGTAGCGTCTGCTTTATTCTGTACCAGGCACACGTCACAGTCCCAGCTGCCCTCGGGTTTCTTGAACTTATCTAACCCCAGGCAGCTTCCAGAAGACAGAGAGACGGGGACAGTGCTGCTACCTGAAGCAGGTACCGAACTTCCTAAAAAACAGCAAGGAAACATGTACAAATTCTAATTCACATTATGTCAATATCTTAAGGCATCACTAAGTCTAAACATTCAATTAGTGTTTCCTATTAAGACAGAGAAAGTGCCAGAAATATCAACTTTACACTGTTAAAAAACAGTATAAAAAGCTCAGATTTCTTTTAATCTTACAAACAAGCAGCTCACACTCACCTTGCCTAGTGATGAGCTCTCTCTTAACCCGAAGTTTGAATAATCATGGTTTAAAAAAAAAAAAACACACGCTCAGAAATCAGAGACTAAAAGACTAAAACGTTCTTAAGAATCTTTATCAAATCTCTTCAAACAGCACAGCATTTTAAAATCCAAGATATAAATTATAGGCAATATCCTAACACATAAAATACATAGCCACAGACCACGTTAATTGCAAGATTTCAAAGCCCAGCTCTGCCTTTGAAATGATCATTTTTGCACAAAAGTTCATGGCAGTGGTTAACACATTTATTAAGCACCATAATATACCATGGTTCTAAGGACATAAAGATGAATGAAATGCTGCTTAACTTCTAAAAGTGCTAATGGTCTAAAAAGGGGAAAAGTAAAACATAAATGCACAATAGCACCATCACCAAGATGGAAAGTGATAAATGAGAATAGAAGGAAGAGCTGACTGTGGGGCAGGAGAAGAACGGATTCACAGAGGTGCCATTTAAATCTGCCAAGTTTGTGGGGAGCAGAGGGGGCACGGGAAGGACGGCTCCACGAAGTGAGTGTGTGACGAGGGGAGCCATTCGTTCCGGCATCCCCACCCGCTGTCCACCTGTTGCCTCTCCCAGCCACCTGGTGTCTGTTCTACCGTTAGGTTCTCCTCCATCTCGCCAAGAAAATTACTCCCCAAGGCTCCACCTTCGGTCCACTGTCCTCACAAGTCTCGCCACCAACAAAACCGCTTCCTGAGCCATAACTGCGGCCCGCAGCCCTGCGCCCTCCTCCCCAGCCGGTCAGCGTGGCTACACGCCTCCTCCTCCCTCACGTGTTCTCCTAGCAGTTTCGTTCCCTTTTTCTGAGCCTCCTACTGCTACCCTGGGTCAAGTGGCCCTCAGCTCTTGCTGGATTAACAGTCTTCTTACTGAGACCTCCACCCTTGTTCCCCGAAGTCCATTCTTCTAAGAAGCAACCAGTGCCACATAGTTTTGGGTTTTCCTCTCTGGTTCCTCCTTTACAAGATTAACTGTTCCAAAGTTTCATTCCTGCCACTCCCTGAAGTTAACAGAGCTCAGTTTTAGGCCATCTCCTCTATTCCCACAACTCCCTCGCTTTACGTCGCCTCTACTCCCATGCCTTATTTGAAAACTATAGCCTAATGATGCCCACATTTGTATTTCCAGCCCAGAGCGCCCATTATAGGATATCCAAAGGCCTCGCATGTATGTGTCAACTTCACAGCTTCAAATCCACAGGGAGTCAACTGTACATTATTCAACATCCTGATTTGACTCCATTAGTATCCGTAGCCATTACCTTTGCCCACAGTACTACTGATACAATTTCCTCATCTGTGCTCTGGTCTCCCTTCAGCTTTTGCTGTCTTCAAATCTACCCTCCAAAAAGCCACCAAGCAATTTGTCAAACATACAAATTGTACTGTATCACTCCTCTGCTTAAAATAATGGTTCATCATTTACAGGATGAAGTCGGATTTCTTTAATAAACGTATGAGCTTCCTTTATTTGTGGCTAACAATTTACTCCCTAACTTTTCTTCTCCTAATCAACTCAGAAGTAATTCTAGCTTCTTGTATGATCAAAAACTTGCCTTTTGGGGGGGGGGGGGCGAATGCCAGATGGAAAAAGAAAAGTTATTTCAGAATGAAGATTCTGAAATCTTATTCTTGTGGAGATGTACAGTAAGAACTAGGAATATGGCTCACCCCTTGTGTTCAGACATAGAGTATACGGCTAACAAATCAAGAACTTTCCATTGCAGACCTAAAACTACATATCCATGAATAATGCAATAAAAAAGGAAGTATAATTCCCAGGGTATTCATAAAAGGTTTTATTTAGCACCCATATTACCATATATCTATACCAAATAATTCTATAATATTATTACAAAAACAACAAAGAGTCATTTCCAGTTGTGAATCTCAGTAACTTTTTCCAATTTGAACAGAGAAACAGGAAAAACTCAAACCTGACTCCATTTTTCTCACTGCCAGGTTAGAATTTTTTCATTAACAATTCAGTAATTTACTATCATGGCAATATCTCCAGCAGAAAGCACATAGGTATCACCATTAATATTCGGCCATAGCCTTTTCATAAGGCAGTACTGTCTACCCCTTAGTGAAACCTTCTCTGGAAATGACCATGTGCCATCCTCATTTTTCAGAGGAAAAGAGACGAAGTGGTATTTTGTTCTGGAGAAGTCTGAGAAAAACTGTCCCTTCTAAGTTCTTTCAGCATCTGTAGTAGTCAACTTTGAAAATGATCGTGAAGATCAAGAAGTTTCTATTGATAAAAATGTATGTAAAGAAAGAGGTGCAACTATATATTGGGCTGTTTAATGCACCGCCTCAGATAACATGGAGATCCAGCCCCAGGCAAGTTATTTTTACCTCAAGACGGCTTAGAAAAATTAAGATGTATGAGGAAATGCTCATCCTGCCACATTACATTGAGGTGGTTCTTAGCAGACAATAAATTTAAATGTCCTACTAAAATAATGAACAAAATTTTCCCAAAGAGCCATACACGTACCTGGTTTCTCAGACACACAGGACACACATTTACTGTCTTCTCCATTATTAAAAACACAGCACACTGGACACTCCCAAGATCCCACGGGCCTTTTAAACTGATCTGCAAACCCTAAGGCGGCCGTGGTCACAGTGCAGGTGGCAGATGAAGCAGCCACAGTCACAGCGCTCTCTGAAGCCGCGGGCAACGTAAGGACTCGCTTAACACCAGTCCCAGGCTTCGGGGTTTCACAAGCCACGCATTTTATCGCCTCAGGTTTATTCTGCACTAAGCAGGTATCACAATCCCAAGTGCCTACTGCTGGTTTAAATTTGTCTCCGAAACCCGTCCCTGACGCGGGAAGAGTTGATTTGTCACTTTTACTTGGTGCTCCAATTGCAGCTTGTTTAGCAGTCTCTTTTGGCGGCAATTTTGTTGCTTGACAGGCTATGCACTTGCTGTCTGTAACTTTGTTCTGGAGTAGACAAGTATCGCACTGCCACGATGGTCTGGCTTTTAAACTTTCCCCAAACCCGATGCCACTAGAAGAAAAGCTACTTATTGCTGGTCTTGTATAAACGACCGGGCTTGTGGTGGTAGGCTGAGAAGCAAGAGAATCTGCCTTTGGTGACGTGAAACCTATGAGGGAAAGAGGAGAGTGTAAACAAAAAAAAAGTAAGGGAAGCCTTCTAATCAGAACATGAACTGAAATGCTATTGCTGGGAGAACACATACTTATACACATTTATGCGGTTACTAAAATCCAATGTGGACTACTTATAAATAGAGTTTTGGGTTTTTTTTACCTAAGCAGTATTTATTAATCACATAATTAATAAGTGACACTTTGGTCCTTGTTAAAATTCTACAAAAGAGGTTCTGTTTATAGTACATTACCCTCTTCCTCTAGGAATTTCTACTTACTGTAATTCAACCACTATCTAATTTGAGGCTTTAACTGGTAGTAATTTAGCGACATACACCACTGTCATCAGTGTTTGCCACACTCTGCCTCGCCGCAACCCCAATGTACAGTATGTTCATAGCCTTCCTCCCTCGACTATTTTTTCTTTCAGGTGTTCCCTTGGCTAAGCCAAATGTCTTCAACATCTATAATCTTTCAATTTTGTCCAGTTATAATCCACTATTGTGGTATCCTCTACTTTCAGTAAAAATCAGCAGAGCTGCATAGGTATGCAACATTGGACAGATATCCTTCCCAAAGTATAGTGGAGTTGTAAGGACTGGTTTTAATCATACAAAGCTCATACAGAACTTTAAAATAGTAATGGTTCAATGAGAAATATGA